CCCCCCCGATTGGTCGGCGGGCAGGGCCGCCCGGCTCTGTTTACCTTCTCCCCCCGCCGCTCGCGGGCGCCTTTTGGCGGGGGGTGTGTCCGCCCGCCGCCCGCCCCGCCAATCGCCGCGCTCCCTGCGCAGGCCGCGTGCTACTCCGGGCGCCCCGCCGCGCCCGCTTAAAAGGGCGATGCCAAGCGCGGGACGTAGGGACGCCGATGGCGGCGGCCCTTCGGGGCAGCGGGCGCGTCGAATACCCCGGGAGACCGTGGTCCGGGCCGCGGGGCGGGCGGGGGGCGCGGGTCGAGGCGGGGGGGGCGACTCAGAGGGGGTCGCCCAGCGCCTCGCGGGTTAAGTGTCTCGCCGGGAGCCCTGCCGTCCCAGCAACCGGCCGGCCAATGGAAAGTGCGCCGGCTGATGTCACTGCCCTGCCCGCCGCCAATCCGCTCCGCGCTCCGAGGGGTGCGCAGAGCCCGCACAGCCGCCGGGCCCCGCCCCGCCCCGCGCCTGGACCGGGGCAGCCCCCGGCTACCGCCGCCCGCGGCGAGGTCCTGGTGGCGGACCCTCGGGGGGAGCGACATCGCCGCACGGCCGGAGGCGCCGGTCCTCGTGGGGAGGGGTGTGTGAGGCAACAGCCCTCCTGCGTTTCTCCCCAGCGGCCCCGTGGGCCGAGGTGGGAGCCGGTGCCGGGCCTGCTGGGCGTGATGCTGGGAGGGCCGGGAGAGGACCCGCGGTGACTCCGTGCCTCACCGTCCGGGCACGGCGGGGCCTTCCCTGCCCTGCTCCGCTGCTCGTGACATCAGCAGTGCTGTTGTGCATCACAGCCTGCTGCTGCAGAAATGCCATTCCCACTGTAACATTCTGCAGTGAGGCTGTAGCTTACTAGGCTTTTTCTTTAGGAATCATATTATGTTGGGGTATTTGGGACACACTCACATCTTTGTTAAATTCGGGTCCTTATGAGCTCTGGGAAATGACATCAACTCCTTCAATCCCACACTGTATAATGCACGGAATCTGTGAGACCCTTTTTTGTTTCCCGGCTTCTGTCTTTTCAGCCCAATCCTGCCACCCAGTCAAACAGCTGGAAGGTAATCCATGTCTGACTGATGCTGAGGAAGCACTGAGTCTTCACAGAACTCCCAGTGCTTCCAGCGGTGCCTTCCTATCAAACCAAAACATTCCAGTGTGCGGGGCCCCTTTAGAGTAACAGCTGGGTGCCACCTCAATGGTCCCTGATACGGCTGCAGCTGCTCATGGCCCCCACAGCCTGTGAGCAGCTCCACTGCTCTCATCACCGCAGAGCTCTTCTGAGAGTATGGCTCTGTGAGGCATGTGTGCAGCGAGTTGCTCCCCATGTAGTATATGGGAGTTTCTTCCCTTAAAGTTTCTTCGCACTCAGATAAAATGTAGGAAAGCATCCTGTTGGTGTGGTAACATCTATGGAGCTTCAAGAGCCAGAAGGTCCAAATATGATGGCAGTTACTGCTTCTCTTTCACTTTAGCTCTCCAGAACCACTGTGTTTGGTACCAGCTGGATGTGAATTGACATGGCACTGAGGGCTAGGCGATGGTGAGGCTGCAGCAGTGGCAGTCGTGCCGTGTGATTGATATCTTCAGATACAAATCTGAAGGTGCTACATGGTGCTCCACATGTGCAGGGTGTCCCCGTGCCCCATGACGGTACTGAAGGAATATGGTGCCTTCCCCCCAGCAGCAGCCACTGCCCGTTCAGAGCCGCACCGTAGGAAGGGAGCACCTCTGCCCTTTGGGGAAGCATAGCACGGTTGCTGGGAGCGTGAGCAGACACGGCTGTGCTGGAGGATGCCATTCTGTGTAGTTCAGCAGTTGATGCTGCCTACAAAGTCATCCAAAGCCCCTTCCTCCATAGCTTTCCCAGGGCTTGTGCTGCTCTGTGGGCACCGGAACTGAGGGAGCTCCTTTGTGCCCAGCAGCCCCCAAGTCATGGGCGGCAATGGGACAGTCAATGCCTTTGTCCTGCAGCCCTCTGTGGAGGCAGTTCGCGGGGACAGTGCTGTGCTGAGAGCATTGACGGCTGGCCACCCCCCCACCGGGTGCTTCACTGAGCAACGGTGATCATAATAAAGGTAGTAATAATAACAGTGATAATAACGAAGAAGATTACAATGGAGGACGGGTGTGCAGCAGGCTGTGTGCGACACGGGCCAGCTGCCTCCGGTCTCCCTCCTGCCCCGTCCCCCCTCCCTTCCGCCCCGCTCCGCTCCGCCCGGCCCCGCTCCGCACTGCGGGCTGCAGGCGTACGTGCGGCGCGGCTGCGGCATCGCCGCTTTAAGGCTGCGGAGCGGGCGGGGGAGGCAGTGAGCCGGGTTCATGCGAGGACACAGCCCCAGTTCTCAGAAATCCCCGCGCTGCGGGAACATCGAGCTCCGCTAGCGCAGCCCGGCTGCTGCCCTATATCGCAGGCGGACACGTGAGCGCCGCGCCGCCCCCCGCACTGCGCCGGGCCGGGCCCTCCGCGCGGCGCGCTGTGTGACACACGGGGTGTAACGCGGCGATGGGTTCAGCGCCGGTACAGTGCGCGGGACGGGGGTCCCTGCGGGCAGCCCTCACCGCGGCCACTGCGGCCGTCAGAGGGGGCGGGGGGGTTCTCCCCCTTATTGTTTAACAGTCGTAATAGCCTCGGCATTTTCAACATTTTTAATATTCCTAACGCTCCCATTGTTCTCTATCTGGGGACTTAATCTCCTGTTCCACACAGACGCATCCCTTTCCCTTTCCTCTGTGTCACCGGGGCCGCCCGCTCCGTGCGCGGGGCTCTCACCCCCCCCGCCGGCCCCTCCCCGCTGCAGGCTCCGCCCGCCCTCACCTCAGATGCCCTCCGCAGCGCTCCCCCTCCCTCCCGCCGCCTCCATCTTGCACCGCCCTCCCCCGCCGTGCGGCAGCGGCCGCCCCCGCCAACATGTCCGCCCCCGCCCGCTGCCGCCGCGGCCCTCGGGGCTCCCCCACGGGCTCTGTGGCCGGTGAGGCGGGGGGCGCTCGCTCAGAATGCCGCGGCGTGGCCGTCATGGGAAGGCTGAGCACCGCCGGTAACCCGGCTGGGGGTGTCCCTGGCCCGGTCACACCGACCTCCACCCGCTGGGGGAGACCTAGCAGCGGGTAGTAGCTCCGCTCCCGCTGAGGGGTCGGCACGGTGCGGCGCAACGCTTGCTTGGTGCCCGGCGGCGCGGATCTCCCGGCAGGGCTGCGGCATCCCGGCAGGATGCCCTCCGGCATCTGAGCCCCGCCGCAGAACGTTCTGCGGGACGGCGGCTCCTGTCGAGAGGGTCCCCGGGACGGGAGGGGCGGGGAAGCGGGCTGAGGGACGCCGCACATCCTGGAGATCGGAGTTGCTTCCCAAGTGTTTTCCAGTGCAACGTCTGGCTTCCAGCGATTTGCGGGAATTTGTCTCCCTCCCCTTTAGTGGTGCTTTATGCCGGAAACAGAGAGATGTCTCGGGCTTGTCTGACGCTGTGATCCACTTTGCAATACTACGGTTCAGACGAGAGCCATGCTTCCCTCCTGGCAGCTCCCTAGGAAGCGAGACGCATCCGTGATCTCTCGCCGCTGCACGACCATCCTGCAGTCCCGACCATTCACTGTGGCAGTCCCGACGCTCTGGCACCGCCTGGGTTTGGAGCTCTCTGAGCTATGGTGCTGGGTGTTATGACTATGGGAATACTAATAAACCTATTCACGTTAATGCTTTAATTGCCAATACCAATGGTGTTAAACAATGAAATGAGACAATGGTGAGAGATTTCCTTTGGAAATTCAGTTAAACCTCTGTAGAAATTCTCTTCACACAAAATAAAGATCATAGAATTGTGGAAGGGACCACTGAAAGCCATCTAGTCCAACTCTCCTGCACTGAACAGGGACACCAAATTTCTGCCTTTGTAATTAGCAGTGATACTGTTTCATACAGGATCTCTCTAAATCATATTTGATTGCTATGAACTTTTAAAATTAGTTCTGTTCATCAGGAAAGAGGTAAAAGAGTCTAGAAAGTAACTGCAGAAAGGACTCTGGGGGGGTCATGCTGGACAGCAAGTTGAATGTGAGCCAGCAATGTGCCCTTGCAGCAAGGAAGACCAATGATATCCTGGGCTGCATCAGGAGCATTGCCAGCCAGCTGAGGAAGGTGATCCTTGGCCTTTGCTCAGCATTTGTGAGGCTACACCTGGAGTGCTGTGTCCAGTTCTGGTCTTCCCAGTATGAAGAGCATTCTGAAGAGAGCTGAGGATAATGCAGGTCCTGGAGCATCTCTCCTCTGAGGAAAGGCTGAAAGAACTGGGAGTGCTTAGCCTGGAGAGAAGGTTCACAAGACAATCTTCTAAAAGTGCCAGGACGCTTCCTAACAGTGCCAGGACAAAAAGCACTGGGCACAAACTGGAATACAGAAGACTCCATCTGAACACCAGGAAGCACTTCTGTGCTGTGCAGGTGACAGAGCACCTGGAGAGGCTTTGGAGTCTCCTCCCTGGAGATCTTCAGAAGCTGTCTGGACATGGGCCTGGGCAGCCTGCTCTGGGTGCCCTGCTTGAGCAGGAGTTGGACTAGATGGACCCAGAAGCCCCTACCAACCTCAAACATTCAGTGGTTCTATTATTTTAGTAGAATCATAGAATGGTCTGGATTAGGGTTGGAAAGGACATTAAAGATCATCCAGTTGCAGTTCACAGCAGG